TAAAAACATCACAATAATCCACAGCACTCCAGTCCATCAGTTAACATCTGAAGAAGTGACAAGCTTTAAATTTAAAAGTTAAAACACCTTAATGATGGATTTGTTTCTTACAACTCTTTCCTTAAACAGTCGCTTCTGGCTAAAATATGAGTCCATAATCCATAATAACTCTTCCTCCAGAGAAAAAGTCCAGTAGACACAATATAGAAATTCATATTCAGGCAAGGCATTTATCTGCAGAAATAATTTAATTTAAATTTACAGCATTTTAAGTAGAAACCTACATCAAAAGCATTAAATAAATCAAGTGTGTCCAAACCTCTGACTGATAGTGTAGGTTAGTGTTATACGTTTCATAAATTAATTCATTTATCCAGCGGGGAATGTTGATTGTTTTTAATTACACTATTTTAAAAACTTAGACACACATTCAGTGTAAAATTAAAATGGAAAGATATTCTGGAAACATAAATTCAGTTAAAGAGGTTTATTTTAGGACCTGTAACATCAGCATAAAAGAGTTATGGTTTTGTCTCTGCTATTGAACCAAATTAGACTGCTTTGTCTAGAATAAGACCGAAGAAATGTTCTTGTCCTTTATTTGCAAAAAAAAAAAAAGCACAAAAGGCTAAATGGAGCAAATGAATTGCAGATATGGGCATTTTTTTGGCCACACCACATTTTTTGTTTTTGTGCATTTTTGCAATTTTTTGGCTCAAACTTCTGCATTACCATGTGTACTGCGGTGTGCAAACTTAAAACAGTTCCTTTAAATATTCATCATGACAGGCTCCGAGAGTCGCAGCGCTGGACCGTATGCATGTTTTAGTTACAAACCAAACCCACCGCTTCCCTGGAGTTGAGCTGGCAGTCCAACACACGACTAGCTCGCTTTTAGTCTCTGGCTGATCCTTCATGAAGACGTGACCTCCGACTGACCACACGCTCGTATATTACAACAACAATCACTCTTGTGCTTCAGCCCGTCTGAACAATCAATCTTTCAGTGCATTTTCCCTCCTGTATTCTGCCCAAACCTCCAAATCATTACAGTTTTGTCTTGTTTTCCAGGAAAACATCTAAAAACCCATAAAAGACATTTATTTAACTGCGATTAGACAAGACTCAGAAGATATTATCTTCTTTTAAACCTCACTACATTTAAAAAAAAAACTTGATTTATGTAATCAAGGAAAATATAAACATTTCAACCAAAAATAAAAATTAGCCAAACATGTCCTCACCTGCAGGCCACCCGAGATGTGGATGAGTTTGTTTCTCATCAAATTTCTAGCATTGCATCACTGTCTCAGCAATGGATGCTCTGCAGTGAATGGGTGCCGTCAGAATGAGAGTCCAAACAGCTGATAAAAACATCACAATAATCCACAAGCAATCCACAGCACTCCAGTCCAGCAGTTAATGTCTTGAGAAGTGAAGGCTGCATGTTTTTAAGAAACCAATACATCATTAAGGCATGTTTGCCTTCAAACCATTGCTTTCGGCTAAAATACGAGTGTATAATCCATAATAATGATTCCTCCAGTGAAGAAGTCCATCATCCCCTGATGTCCTCTCACATCAACATCCAGTTTTGGATGGTTTTGTCTTCTAAAGGGTGTTTAATCTGTGCATATGTCTCTCCTGATTCAGACCAGAACACTTTCGCATTATTATGGAATATGGACACATTTTTTATCCGGAAGTGATGGTTTGATGTAAAAATATCTTATTTGTTTCTCACAAACATCCAGTTTTGTCTTCTCCAGATGTTAGCTGATGGACTGGAGTGCTGTGGATTATTGTGATGTTTTTATCAGCTGTTTAGACTCTCATTCTGACGGCACCCATTCACTGCAGAGCATCCATTGGTGAGACAGTGCTGCAATGCTGCATTTCTCCAAATCTGATGAAGAAACAAACTCTGAAGGTCTGAAGGCGAGTATACATTTTAATTTTTGGCTGAACTACTCCTTTAATTCAATCTTGTTTTAAAGACGTTTACTGGAAAACGAGACAAAGATACCGATTAGGCTGATCTGTGTTTGGTGTAAATCACCAAACATACTCAAACAGACAAAACAAAACACTCTCACACATATTAGAAGAGTGAAATCCTGGCTTCCATTAATAATCTTGTCGTCAACACAAATAACGCAGATGATACACAGACGATCGCTCACTCTGAAGGCCTGCTTACAGAATCATTACAGCTGCGCTTCTGTGTCCCACAAAATACACTGCGTTGCTATCCGGTTGCTAAAGAGTTCTGACCAAGTTTGTCAGGTTTAAATAAAAACCCCCAGATTTGAAGCTTCTAATTTGAAGTGTAATTGATGTCTGTTTTATACAGTAGAAATAGTGATGTTTGACTCATCAGAACAGTCTGGAAAGACTTGCGCGTGAAGTGATCAAATGTGCAAAGCTACACGGCTGTGTTAAAGCCTCTGAAGCATTAAGCACAGGTGATTAATGACGGGCCGCTTTCTTCCAGTCTGCAGAGACGGAAAATTAGCCACAGATTGGATACAAATACACAAACACACACACACTTGAACACGTGCACACATGGAAACGCTTACAGGCGAACACATGTGCAGTGAGGAAGATAAATGAAGTCTCAACAAGCGCTTCACAAACACACGCCACAGACACACACACACCGTAATTTAGAGAGTATTTAAACGCCAGCAACCGGGATGTTCGTGCTTCGGGTCGAAACTGCAGTCCAAGTTCTCCCCGCTGAGGTGTTTAAATCAGCTCTGGCATCGCGTCTCAAAGCATTTCTCAGGGCTGTTTT